TACCCCGAGTCCTGCATGTCAGGATGGGGTCTGTACCCCGAGTCCTGCCTGTCGGGACCGGGTCTCTGCCCCGAGTCCTGCCTGTCAGGTGAGATTTTTACCTGAAGCCCACAGCAGCCGACGGCGTTCATGATGGAGGCGTTGTGGATGACTTTGTAYGGTATCCCAGCATGCACTGCTCTGAGGACGAGGTCACTGTGGGTGGTGGCTCTGCAGGAAAACACAGGAAGTTCAGACAGTTGTTACATGAAAGGAGAATTCATTCAGATATTCTGCTAACAGACAAACAAAGACACAGGTTCAGGTTCTCTGGTTCAGCAGGTTCAATCAGAACTGGACTCTGAACCAAACAGTTCTGAGTCGAACTCTGGGGCCACATCAGACCTCCAGAACCGCTCCGACATGCCGACTCAACCGATCCCAGCACCGGAGCGACTCACCCAAATGGGTCGCCCACCACCAGGAAGGCCACGTCGGTCACGTCTGCGTCCTTCAGGATTTCATCGGCTCCCTGTTCCACCAGATCTCTGTCTGCCAGGATCARCGGCATCCCATAATACTCCTCCTGGACACAAACACAGGAGACCATGACCATGTTTCCATCAAGGCTTTTTGATGCGCATTTAGAAGTGTCGCTTTAAAAATGCGAAAAAAAGTCAGATGGAAACAGCAAAATTTGAAAAAAAATCCTCAATTCGCTAAAAGTTTTTACGCTCACTTGAGGTGGTTTTTGGATGAATCGCAAAGTAGTTAATGGGCAAAATGGGAGTTTGCCGAATAAATTCTGACGTAGCGCATATTTAGCTCACGTGACGTTCAGCTGTTTCCGCTTTCCTGCCTCGTCCCGGATGTTACCATAAACGCGCGAAAACATGGCTTTATTTCCCTCCGTCTCCTGGCAGCGTTAAACATAGCCTGTACTAGCTGAATAGATAGAATAATTACAACTCTCCCAATAGCAAGGCATTCACAAAAAAAAAATCGCTCCATTGTCCCGAGATGATTAGCCACTGCTAGTTAGCAAGTTTCACTTCCTGTTTACTACCGCAAAGCTTGTCGCCGACGTCTGACGTAATCAAGCATTGTGTAGCCTCGTCTGAAGTAATCACGCGTTGCGTAGCCTCGTCTGACGTAATCACGCATTGTGTAGCCTCGTC